CTAGCACACAGTAAGCTCTCAATATCTGGAGGATGAAAAACAGATTTTTAAAAATAACTGTTATATTAGGTCCTATATAAACTGATCAAACTGGGTGAAATCTTTCAAGGCTGCTTCAGAACTATCACATTAAAACGGAAGTAATTTAATCACTTTACTCAAAAGCTGCTAGCTTCATTTAACACAGAAAAAATATTTTACTTTGACAAGCTTTTGTTGAGTTTTACTTCCTATTCTCCAACTATCAGTTCTTAATCATTTTAAGAATGTACCCATGGGCTAGAAAGAGCCCTAAATCCTCTCAGCAGCTCTCCCAGGAGGTTAGTTTCTTTAGCAGGTTGGGGTCTCATCCCTTCTCAATGACCTTGACGCTATCCCTACGGAACCACTTTAATTTGCCAATTTTAAGGTAAGGAGTCTGTTGGGTATGCATCATCTCGCCCCTCTTGTCTATAGGCAACCACCTCTTAGGAGTGTAGACTGGTCAGAGTCCCAATACATTTTAATATATTTATTTGTTGTTGTTGTTTTAAATATATCTTTATTGATTTCAGGGAGAAAGGGAAAGGGAGAGAGAGAGATAGAAACATCAATGATAGAGTCATTGATTGGCTGCTGCCCGCAACCCAGGCATGTGCCCTGACGGGGAATTGAACCCTGATCTCCTGAATCCTAGGTCGACAGTCAACCGCTGAGCCACTCCCAGCTGGGCATAATATATTTATTTGTAAATGGGCTTCTTTAAGTAAAGAGGAAAAGTAAGCTCTAAAAAGTGAACAGCTGTTTTTTACATGTATTTATTACACTAGGATGGGGAAAAAAATCAAGAAAAATAAGGCTGAGGGTTGTGGCAATAAGATGTTCAAGGCATTTCCTACCATCTTTGATAGTAATATGAAATGTCCAAAGAATTTTTAACCTATTTTAAAATGTATTTTTAAATGGGCTTATAAATTATTGGGTCTTGGTAGACTGATGTTGAGAAAACCATATAAAGGAAGACTCTCTGCTGCAGCATATGCCAAATTACTAAGACCAAATCTAAGAATTATTAATATACCTTCTACTATTAACAGGGTACATAAGCTGGCATAGTCATGAAGTGGTCAATCTACATGCATCTAGTTGGAGCTGTAACCAGATTTTAAGAAGAAAGTCAATCTCTTAAAAAAAAAAAATCTCGTCTGTTACAGTATTCATCTTTAAAAAAAGTTCTGCCCCCAATATAGCATTTCACCCCCCAAAAAGCTTATGTAAAAATACTGATATAGTTCAGAAAAGCATAAGCTAGATGATGACAATGTACTTTTGCCTGTTTAAGATTTTTAATGATTGAGCTATTAACTATTATCATAAATCTTATCCACCTAACTTTCATTTTTCCTAAGAATTCTGAAATACAGTATTTCAATAGGCAGTACTCAACAACTAGATTAAATCCTAAGTATACATATCTAAATTTATTATTTTGAATATATATTTAATATATCTTTATTGATTTCAGAGAGAGGAAAGGAGAGGGGGAGAGAGAGATAGAAACATCAATGATGAGAGAGTCATTGATCGGCTGCAGCCCGCAACCCGGGCATGTGCCCTGACTGGGAATCAAACCCTGATCGCCTGGATCCTAGGTCGACGCTCAACCGCTGAGCCACGCCCGGCTGGGCTGTTATTTTGAACTTCTAAGTACAATTTCCTATAGGACAACTGCAGAAAAAATTCACCCTACTTAACCTATAATATAGTTGAATGAGTACACACTGTATTTCTGTTCTTACTGTTCATCAAGGCAGGTATCCTAGCAGTAAAGAAGGGGAGCTCTGAAACCTGGAGGACTGTGTTTTATCCTCTGAGAGGCATTTCTGTACCTCCTTGATCCTCATCAGTTGTTCCTAATACCTAAGATATCCGTAAGGTGGCTACAGTCACACTGAAATTACATTTGCATGTTAAACTCCCAAATCAAGCAAAACAAAAAGTCAAAGATCCTCTCAGAACAATACCCTTGAAAACTTTCCACAACTCCAGGTTAATTTCAGTTCTTTTCCTGAGGGACATGAAAATAACTGGAACACAACAGAGTAAGAGTGTGAAAAATATGAATTATATAAAGGAATTCAGCACAGCCTAGAAGCATAAAATTTGTGACCTGGTAGGTTTTATACCCCTTTTCTACTTATAAAATGGCAAAAATCATAAAACAAAACCACTATAAATTTAACTCAGAAATGTAAAGAATATTACATATTCATTCTTCTCATTAGTTATTAAATTTTATGTTTTTAGAAAATCAAAAAAACCAGTACATGAAGTTGTTTTGGGTCTTCATTGAACCTCAGTCTGTAGTTTAAGTGATTATGGAAGGAAATAAGAAGAGGATTTACTACAGTAACCGAATAAACAGCTTTGTTTAAAACATTTTCAAATTTGTAAAAATTAAAGAAAAACTAGTCCCATTTATGTGTTGTTTTTTTTTAAAAAAATCCTCACCCAAGGATATTTTTTCCACTGCTTTTTAGAAGGGAGGGAGAGAGGGAGAAAGGGGGAGGGAGAGGGAGGGGGAGGGAGAGAGAGAGAGAGAGACACACACACACACACACATCCCAACTGAGGCTGGGGATGGAGCCTGCAACCAAGATATGTGCCCTTGGCCAAAATCGAACCCAGGACCCTTCAGTCTGTAGGCCGACGCTCTAACCACTGAGCAAAACTGGGTAGGGCACCACTTATGTTTTTAATATTCGTATTAATACTTCCAATATTACTAGAGTATCTCAAGACATTTTCAAAATAAAGGTGATTATTAACTTATTTCCAAACATAGATTTAAAAGAACCTTTGAAACAGCATTAGTAGTAATACATGCAATGACATTACACTTCAATTTTACAGATACACAATACAGCACAACACAGCACCATCCCTACAGTAAATGACAAAACCTTAAAATCAGGAATGACAGTATATTGTATTTGTATAGAAATGATAGCTAATCCAGGAGGACAGGCATAGGGTGGCCTCATAGGCAGGTAGATTGGGATGCTAATAAAAGAGAAGGTATAGTTTTATTTGTCAATTATACCTCAATAAAGTTGGGAAAAAAAGTGATGGGGGGAGGAACGGAGGTAAAGAAGAATTAAACAATAAAGGGAAGGTGTTATATAGCACTATTTTGCCTATGTAATGTTATCCATCCAACTAACAAACCGGGCACTAGAAACTACGCACTGTACAAGACTTGCTCTTAGACCAAAGGCATGCTTTTTTGGATGGTTGCTCAGAAGTGCTATCATATCTCAGAACATAAAAATCTAATTGGTACTTGCTGAATTCACCCCCACTCTTGGTCTCATCAGTAGTTTAGTGCTCACTGACTGAATCTTTTCAACTTCGGGATCAGTTGGTCCTCTAGCCATACATTTGACTCTGTTAAAGAGTCTCTAACCTGATCAAGGCCTCAAAAGGCCTTTCTTGCCACATAAAATCAAAGTAAGGAAATGGAATGGCTTGGTGTGAAAAGCTAGGGAAATACAAAGGCCACTTGAATACTGAGCCATGCTCTGGATACAACTTGGAGCTATATGCTTATCTCCCCCACTTTTGGAACAGACTGGTGCCTGAGGGGAGGTGGGTGAGGGTGACTGGATAAAGAAGGTGAAGGGAAAAAAAAAAAAAGGCGAAGGGATTAGCTAATACACACACACACACACACACACACACGTATGTGTATATATATGCATGTATATATGTAGCCTAGCATTAAACCAGGACCTCTCAACCCTGGTCAATATAATGCATAATGTTCAACATACTACATTTATTGCAAAAATAAAGACACTGATCTTGGAGAAAAACAATGCTGTATAACAATGTGCACAGCACTTGACATTGTTAAGTGTCAGGTTCCTTTCTATAAAACAGGGATAACAGTAGCCCTCCTGCCCAACTCACAGGGTCATTGAAAGGATGAATTAAGGTGGTAAATGTGAAAGTGCTGGGGGACTGCTCAACTATTATTACTATGTACGTTGCTCCTCTGACCTTTAAAACTTTTTTCCAACTCATAGTTTAATTTTAAGGTCAGTTAGAATACCCAGATACAGAAAATAAAAATTAATGGGATTATGGGGAGGGCAATAGAGAGTAGAAAGAAGAGAAATACTTATTAGGAAAATCGGTTAGAACACTGAACATAGGAAGTTAGTCCTAGGGTTACACTAAAATCCTGATGTAAGAGGAGGACAGTTACAGACTGCTTACCCTTTGCAGACACCGGCCAATTCGCCCAACACAGGCAACCACTATGCTGCACTGTGCTACTTTTAGGTGAATCACAGGGGACAAGTTGACTCTGGAAGTGTATGGGGAAGGACTTCTAACCCTGATGATCAGGTTCTCCCCCAATCCCTAGGTTTAACAAGCACTTCTCCTACTCTTTGTGCCTGGCCCAGTTAATCAAAACTACTCCGGGTAAGAAAATGGCTGTCAAAGATTTCTTTTAGGGAGAGTCTTGTATTATGACACCAGTAGCATACTCCTCTCCCGACCACGATCTATTTTGAACGGACAGGTTCGGAGTCAGAAAAAACAAGTTATGTGTTTATTTCTCCCAAGACTCGGAGGCCTCACCCTCTAGCTTCAGCTCTCCCATCTGTAAAATGAATAATGACGGCGCCTGTCAGCTCCATCGCACCGCCGCTGAGAGGATGAATGAGCCAGTGCCTGGAAGGCGCCAGGAGTGATGTCTGATAAACACCAAGTACATCACTGTTTATAAAGTAGTAGTGATGAGTGCCATTATGCCCTCCCACCTCAATAAAATCGCCTGGTTAGAACTGATTCCCTCAGTCACTGAAGAAAGCTACGCTGAAGTGGGCCGGGCACATCCTCACTGAATCTATTTCTGGGTGAGAGGAAGGAGGCAACTCCGAGCCCTGCGGGGGAGGAGGGGAGAAGAAGTGGGGGGAGGAGAGTGGATGGAGGAGCCAAGGCGAGCCTACCTGTTGTTCCGGATGCTGACCAGCACGCACAGCACCAGCTCCAAGTAGGTGCGCAGCACTTCCAGCCAACGGGTTGAGAGCTGCAAGGCCTCGACTTCTTCCCCGCCAGTCCCGGGGTCTGCGCCGCCTCCGTCGCCCGGGCCGCCGCCCCCGCTTAGGTAATTCTCCGCGGCGAACTCAACGCGCAGCTCTCGCACGAACCAGCCGCACTTGCGCATGAGGAATTCCAGCCGAGGCTGCTCCGCGGGTGAGACCCGGAGGCAGATGCGGAGCTGGGGCCAGAGCGCCGGGTAGAAGAGGCACTCGCGCCAGTGTGAGCAGGAGGCCGAGGCCCGCAGCCGGTCAGGCGCCGGCAGGAAGGAGAAGATGTGCACGATCAGCTCGCTGGGCAGCGACGCGGCCCCCGCCGCCTGCCCGCACAG